TCAAACTTGTAAAGATTGGCAAGTGGCCAATCCCTAAATTAAAAAATCCCTAAATTAAAAAATAATCATATGATTATGCAGCATAGGGGTATCTAGATCAACAATGCAAAATAGACCTGATTGGAAAACTGATTTTATTTCATGATTTAGTATTCCCAACAATTAGTGAATAAAACAGTTTTGAGGATACCTACTTGAATTTCTTTTTTTCGGTATAATTCTTGGGAATAGGACTGACAACAGTTTTAGTAATTCATCCAAATGGTAGCCATAAGTATTTCAAAAATAATTAGTACAAATCCAAATTATTAATGCCATGATGAGAAACTGTGACCTCAAAGAGCTTGTAACAGAATTGAGATCTTGCAGACTGACTCTATTTTTATTAATAGTGTCTCCATAAAATCAAATGCAGAGTTAATAGATTTAATGAGAACTGTCTGCAGTCGACAGAATCATACATATTAGAGAAGGCAAACAACCAGCCTCTTTTGACCTGATCTAACCTCTAACCCATTCTTACACATCCCAAGATTTTTCCAAATGCCAAAAGAGCTGACCAAAGTCAAGCCACAGGTGAGCCTTAGTAAAAATCAGGATTTTTTCTGTAAACTGTTTTCCTGCAACAGTGAGAGAAGTGGAGCAATCCCAACTGACCTGACTCCAAAGCAGAGAGTAAGCAGACCAATCTCAGTGAGAGTGTACCAAAAACATGCAGTGATGAAGTCATGAAATCTTTTAGGACCCTTCAAGAGGAGCTCTCTTGTAAGCCAACATATCCCCACAGCACTATGGTCCCCATGTGCTGTTGCTCCCTGAAGCATGCCACTTCAACGCTACTATCTAATTGCTAGTAAAAGCATGCCTTTCAGGATGCCCAAGTCTTTTTCTTCTCCTCTCAGTCAATGACTCCTTAGTTATGGGTAAGCAAATATGAAAGCAGAAAGTGAGTTAGTGAAGCAGTGTTCAAGCTACATGTTTACAACCACAGGCCTAGGAATGGAAGGAGAACCCTTTGAGGTTTGCTGATAAGGCTGAGCTTAGCTTTATTATTGCTTTGGTCTGAACATCATAGGCATCTTTTAATGATTTAACTAGAGGCCCCCTTTATCTTACAGGCAGCCACTTGAGTTCTTGGAGGGAGGGCAAAGTAAAGGTGGAAGCTGGGAAGAATCAGGTTATGGACAAACTGTAACTATCCCTATAATTGCTGGGCAAAACAGACAATTTCAGTGTACAGAGAAAAAGACACTTCATTAGTTTTGTGTCTCGCTTTTTGTTTGTTTTTTATTTAAACTCTGTTTAGTGCTGGACATTGTAAACAAATCAACAAAGAGGTGTTGTTTGTTTTTTTTTCCTGGAGAAGCTTTTCCTTTTGTCCCAAATAATATGAATTTTTCCATTTTGTTTAACCATTCCATACCTACTACTCCAGTAACAGTTAACCCACCTCTTTCGACCATTAGTGGGCCAGATCATTAGTGGGCCATTGCTGGGGATTTTTTCAAGACCATTTTTATGGTAGTGCTCTCCCTCAAGCAGAATTCCTTCACTCACCACCAGCCACCTACTGTATACAGAGCCTCTTTGTTTCCCTTCAGGAGTACTTCTAAAAGGTCTTGTATTCTGGAGTATCAGAACAAAAGACAATTTATAATCCTTGGATATGCTCACAAAACTGAATCATTTTTAGCACTGTCCCACACAGCGCCATAGGAGAAGTCTGTGTCTTTCAGAACTGTAGTATCTTCTCATCTTATTCTCACTATAAATCAGTAAATATCCTAATGCCTTTGATGTACGTTTGAGCGGACTCCATGTCAAATAGCGATCATTATCCCAGTATCTACACAGTGGTTATCTGGGATTCAGCAATTATTTCTAAAGGAAACCACTGGGAAAATGCCAAACTTTTTCACAGAGATGACTCTTGTGTTTGCTAAATCAATGGTTTGCTGCTGAGTCCTAGGGCTGTATACACATATTAGCAAAACAAAGCAGCATTTAGTAAAAACAAAAGGTTTCCCTGGGTCACACACTGTCAAATCCAATACTGAAAAGTGCAGAGATCCTGTTTTTTAACTCTGCTCTTTTCTGGCTCTCTTCACTGTGACTAATGCTCTGCATATCTCCCTTGATCCAGCATGTTTCCTACACTTTCCTTCAGGTATTAAAAGAGATACAAACCACAGCTTTTTGGTACTTGCTCTAAACTTTCAACAGTTATGTAATATTTGTTTTACACTTACAAACCTGTACATCTACATTTTGTATGTTCCAAGCATATGAAATTTAATAAACTTGAAATTCACAGTAAAATGTTGAAGATAATTGGAAGGTTTTGAATAAGAACAAAGTTTTGATGGGAATGAGAAATGTTTACTTTACAAAAATCTGTTAACATATGAGACAACATTCTTCACCTTCAAAAACTCACTCATATTCATTTCAAATGGAAACTTTGCAGTGCTGTCTATGAGGTCAGGAAGATATCTGTCTTTCTAAATGTGTTATTTAGAACAGAAATGGATTTCATATAATATGGTTTTGTATGTTATTGGCTGTTAGTAAACAGTTTCACAAGACTGAATTACGGAAATTAGGAAAAGGGTTATAATTTGGTTGTGTTCTCTTTCAATTGCAAATTTTCTTTGTTAAATTTTAGACATTATCAGCAGAGAAATCTAATTTTTTCTTACCACTTGAACCTGGTTAAAAGTAGAGATTCTAATTGTTTTACAGATTTATTACTCTTTAAGTACATTTTCCAGCGTGAACAAAATGTTTTCTTCAAGTAATAGATCATATAATTTCAGCTGTATTTTCTGGATAGCTCTATAACAGGGTTTACAAATACTTTCAGATGAAGTATGATCTCTTGCACATGGGGTAGACGTAGTCTTGTAACTCAACTTCTAAAAGTCATTTTAGAAGGTAATTTTAAAGCAATTGGGTGGTGTTAAGAGAAGCAAAAGCTATTCCCTATTTGGAACAATTCTTAAGTTCTTGATCAAAACCAAAAAAGTTTTGTCAATTTTAGGCCAAGCACAATAAAAGACAGAGTAACTGCACTTTAGAAGCCTTAATTTTAATAAGAGATGGAGGGATGTTCTTGTTTTCACTTCTCTGATTCTACTAATACATGACTGTAATTCATTAATTCAGGGTCAGGCAATGAGTCTGTGCAATTATTCACATGAGTAGTCTTATAGAATTCAGTGTCCTCGTTTAACGTGTCATTAAAATGGTACATGGATGCATCTAACTAATGCAAACTAAGTTCACAGCAACACACAATGGATAACACTGTGAAGTCCTTAATCCAAACCACTGTCTACTGAGAAAAATCAGAAATTTGGCTGTGTCGAGCTTAAAGATTTCTGGGGGAAAAGGATGAAAAAGAAATTAAAAAAGAAAAAAAAAAAAGAAGGAGAAGAAAAAGAAAGAAGAAGAGATCATCTACCATATTCAGAAAACCAGGACACTAATTTTATCACAGTTTCAGAGAGACACTTTTGCACCAATTGTAGTAATCCAAGGAACGTAACATTTAAGGTGTGACACTTCAGCATTGTGCTAAAGAAGGGCACAATGCTAAAAGAGAAGATGGAAGAGGCAAAGGCAGAGATTTGCTTGACTCTTCCCACTCTGGCACAGTTTGCATGCACAGCGGAAGGCAAGCGACAATTTGCCAAGTTATTGAATATTTGGAAACATACATTGTTCTCCAGTTTACCTAGCCACTTGTTGATATCCTTTATACAAACAGAAATCTGTACATCATTATCTGGCACACAGTCATTGTAGGAGTATAAAATCTTTGAAAGTAAAATGTAGATTAGGCCTAAAAACCCTTACTCTCACCTTGCTCTTCAAGAATAGAGTATTCAGTATATTTCACTGGTGTATGTCCTTCACGGCTAGATAAAGACTAATAAGTCTGGAATTAGGGTAGATTTATGTCATCCAGTTTTAAAAGGTGTTGAGGGAGTGCAAGTCCAATTCAAAACCCAGAATTCATGCTTCCCATCATCCCAGTCCATGATACAACCAACATCTGAAAGCATCCTCCCATGCTTCACATTAATCTCAACCAAAATATTAATTCAGCCCCCAAGGAGCATTTCTTTGCTATGTTCTGTACTGAGATGTGTACAAATTATACTGTATTACTTTTGTAAATGCTATGCAAATGCCAGGTATTTATGGAATTGTTAATTGCCATTAAAACTGGACCTTGTAGTGGGCAACATAGTGATGCAGAGATCTTGTCTTCTAATATATTTTTTGGTAGACAACGATGTTTTGTAACCAGAAAAAAAAAATTGCAGACACTGTTTTCCCAAATGATAATGAGCATTTGTGTCCAGAAAAGGTCCATCTTTTCTCTTTAAATCTGTATCATGTATGAAAATTTAAGTAAATTTGTCAGTCCTTTGACATTATTTTATTTAAAAAAGAGAGTGGAGAGCAATAATAATTTGTTATGATTGCTACTGTAAAGCATTTCATCACTGTTGTTAATATTACTCAGCAAAAGCACAACTTCACTTTACAAAAACCAATAGGGGCAACACTTGTTTCAATATATGATACTGAAGTAAATACATTAGGTACTATTATGTGGCCAAGCTTTTATTTTATTTTTAACACAAGGTAGAAGAGCCTTTAAGCAAAGCTTTCTAACACCTTTGAGAGCAGAGAGAATCTGCGTATTCATAGTTCGGCATGTGAACTACAGCTGTAACAATAGAGCTGGTGCTGGGCTAGAACCACAAGTTCTCAAGGTATTTCAGTAGCTAATCAGAAGTCTTAAAACACTTCTGTCCCCACCACACTGAAACCTTTTCCTATAATGTTTTCTGACAAAAAGACAGGTAGCTAAAGAAGAATAATCCACTGATAGCACTGCTTTGGCTTCTGACATGTAATGTGCAATTGAATAACTCAGTGAATTTCTCTATTATAAATATGAAGACCAAATTCCACAAAATACTTACAGTTCTTTGCATCAGAAGAGGTGTTTCAGAGCAACCTATCCCATCATCATTAAAACTTGATTCCATATTGATTATGTCTTCAATAACTTCTTCCATCTAGTGAAATAATATTTTAAGACCAATAATTATTATTATTGCAGAAAATATTATTCTGAAAATATATGTAATATAATTGTTTTTATTACTTCAATACAAAATTCCAGAAGTTTATATCTTAAAATTCAAATAATTCAAGTACTTCTACAAAATATTCTCTTATTAAAATTCTTGTAGACTTTTGCGCTTCAGCATTACTTCTTTCCTAGGTTTAGCATCCTTCTTTCCAGCCAACAGCTCACTCTTCTTTCCTAATCCCGTATTGCAACACCAAAATCAGACAACAAAAGCATGTTGCTAAGCTGTAACTATGATCTGTCACCTTCATCAAATGTGTCATATTCACAGTGTATTGTTCCACTGGCGCAGGAAGACTGAAAGGAACCTGTGGTTCTGCAAGAGTATGAGTCACTCAAGATTTGGTACTATGCACCGTTCTCAAGATTCAACAGTTTGTGTTGTGCTTGGCATTACACTGGATATTTCTCTAGCCAGCCTTCTGGACCCACTTTTGTTCTAGTCTGAATCAAAATCTGCTGAAGCAGATGGAATATATAGAAGAAGCCATAGCTGAAGGAAATGGAGGAGGCTCCATGCAACAACTAGAAATATCACTACACAGCACAGAGAAATATTGCTCACAGTCAAGGGACCATTCAATAGTCTTTTTAGGTCAATTGACACAGCATGTCTTCAAGGGTTGCTCTGAAAGTAATGCCTCCTACTATAGTCGACCCACAAAATCAGAGACAGATTTTTGTGCTATGGCAGTAAAAGTAGAACCTTTCATTAATATTGTTACATTTTCTTGCTGTGTGACTGGAATGATCCCTACAAGGATTTTGGTTAATTCCAAATATCACCGTCTCAAATACCAACAGGCACAGCTCAGTAGGGAATAAGAGGTTCTTTGCAAGCAGTTGTTTTTGCTCTGGAGGATAAAGAGTTGTGATAGTACAGAAAACAGTTGTTCCTGGTCACATATACGAGGTACTTAAGAACCATTCCAGGACACTGTAACTGCTAGGTCACAGAGTACCATGAAGGCCATCTAAAATTATCTTTGCAGAGTAATGGTTTCAATAATCCATAATTCTGACATTAATAGTCAGTTGTCAATGTAGAAAGAACAGAGAGTTCACAAATGAGCCCTCCAACAAGTACTGGTTTTGTCCTTTCAATTCACTCATACTTCGCTGTATGGCATCCAAGTTTGCTCAGATTGGTCACAGGGTATTCATAAGACTCTTCTATTAATGCCCAAGATATGATATGGCACCTCCACTTATTTCTGCAGGAATTCTCCTTTTACCTAATAAGCACTACTTCTTGAGATCTACTGAAGTATTAAAAGCCATAATGATCTACATCTCACACTGTCTGAGAATGTGACATTGTATAATAGCTGTACTTCTGTTAAAATCGATGGTGGCACTAAAGTTAGCAGATCTATGCCAATTTACCCAGGATAACCTGTATATCAATATACCAGCTAACTGAAAAATGAATGAATGATTCTTTCAGTTACATCTTTAATCAGTATTTAATTTTGTTATGCAGCTAGGATAGTACTTTTAGACTGAAATAACTCTTATCTGGTTAAAAAAAAAAAGTTGCTAGGAATGCATTGGCCATAGTTTAGAAACCTGATCTTGCAATAAGCTATTTGCATGGCATTCAAGGGAATTGTTTGTGTAATCTGAAAGGACTCAGGGCACATGCTCTGCAACTAAAGGCTCTATGAAAGTGAAGACAATAATCTCTTGCCCACAGTGAATACAAGGTGAATCCTATTACATCTTCATAGAAATAAACAATGCCCAATTCCCCATTCTTTTTCTTAGCTTTGCCCTACCGCATTTTCATGTTCTCCTCCAAGGGCCAGAAGCTTGGTCACGGGACTCTCTGGTGTGCCAATATCACTGACTGGAGGCATGTGTCCGTTCCTTAAAATAGAGGTCACTCCTGTGGGCTGGACTGTGTGGGAGTGGGACAGGGAGAGAGTCTGGCTAGACAGTTTTGTGTCAAGGGTCAAGTACTGCTTCACCTGGTGCCGCTGACTTTGCTGGATATGGTATCTAGACTGATTTTCCAAGTGTGTTTGTACCTGGAAAGAAATAGAAAGAACTGCTAAAGTTTCAAGCATTTGCCAGTGTGACGATTTAGAAAACTTCAAGACAGTAGAATCAGTTCTTATATCACTGGATAGAATCATTATTATTTGCTTCAAATCTTTTTTCTTTTTCTTTTTTTTTTTAAATTTTGTACTCTTACACATTTCTTTCTTATGTGCTATCTTTCCCAAACGTATCAGAATAGATCCTCTGAATAATTACCAAACCATAGAATAGAAGAGGATAATTCAGATGTAACTGGCAGAGAACATCAAGTGCAACTGTCTGATCATAAGCAACCCTGAGAAAAAAATTAGAAGTGTGCTACACATTTTACTTTTCCCATGCAAAATTGGTCTTTGTTGGAATCTCTGATCACTGCAATCAAATCTAGAAGTGTACATGCATACCTAAATTTACTATCACAATGCAACTACACTTTTGTACTTAAACAGCAAAAAAATATATAAAGAACAACGTAAGCACCTTCAAGATCAACAGCATTCATTTATATCTAAATTCACATTGGACTCACCTTGTTAGACGTACAGTCAGTTAAATGAGGCATTGTTGCCCTTTCACAATAAATAAATAAATAAATAAATAAATAAAATAAAAATAGAGAAAAATAAAAATAAATAAATAAACACACAGTATAAGCTGTAGTCCTGGATGACCATCCACTGTTTTCAAGCCACGCCGTTTTCATGAAGTGCCTCTTGAGGACAGATCACTTTTTGAGTTGGTATGACATTATAAACCGAGCCTTCATGCCAAATTGAGCCAGACTTTGGGCTGTCCTTTGATTACAAAAATTGACAATTACTACTTCAGATAGTTCTCATCTCAGATCAGTGTCACATTCCTGCAATTTAACTATTGGAGGAGTACTGCATACACAAACCCCAGTCATTTCAGCCATGGCTTTCTCCTTTAGCTATGGAATGACTGGTCACAGATTTCATGTAATAAATTTTTCTTAAGTGGCTTCTTTGTAAGCATGGTTAATATTTGCTAAATAATAGCACGACTTCCTCTGCAGCCCCTGTTTATTAAAAAAAATTCTGTCAATTAAACAAACTTCTTTTTAATCCCTTTAACAAACTTAAGCAGAGGTAAATACCTCACAAAGGGGGTTTGCATTTAAATTAACTATATTTCTTAAATTAACTATATTTCTTTACATTACAGAAGTTACTTTGGTTTTTAATTGTGTTACGGTTGCGTGTCTAAAATTATTTTATGTTTCTTTAAACTAATTTTCTAGTCATATAAAAAGTTTAAGCTGCACAGTAATGAATATAATATTAATTATTTTGATGCAAGTCTTAAAGTCATAATATTCCACTAAAATAGTGATATAAAATATTAAATGCATTGTTTTGATTGTCCCCTGTTTCATGTCAAGAAGGTATGCACCCCTTGTAAGAAAAAACTAAATGTGCATTCAGGATTTACTTAGATTGTAATATTATTTGTCTTAAGCGAGACCTTTGTCTCACTTAGTGTCTGCAACACTAGTTCTAGAAAGTGTATAATGCAGGGTTAATTTGAGCTCTGATTTATCACTATTTAGCAAGAATGATACAGCTTCAATAAGGCTTGTGCTCACACTGAAAGTTAGACAATCAGGTTGCTTCCTAAATTAGAACACAGAAAGGAAATCTACTGCATATCAGTTTAACAAAAGTATTAGTTTGAGGTGCTGAAAGAAAGAATAGATGTCCCATTGTATAGAAGGAATTTGCTGTAAACCTTTGTTTTCTGTTGCTGTTTCAGAACAGCCCACAGATACTTCTTGTTTGCACTGAATTCCAAAGTCACAAAACACACCTATAATCTAGACCTTCCCTGCCCAAACTGATGAAGATCTCTTTCCAGCAACTAAGAACACTTCAGTCAACAGTTTTGAAAATGCAGTTTCTTAGGATGATACAAATGGGACAGGACCAAAGCACAGACTACAAATACAATTACTGCATTTTACCCTATCTGCATTTTTCTCTTGAAAGAGCAATGAATTTTTCTTAAAACTCATTCCTTGTTTTCTTAAAATTTCTACAGCTCTACCTAAAGCAAGAAATCTAGAATATTGGATATTTTCAAATTAAATGAGAAACATAAGAAAATTGCAATATCTTAAAACTATATTACTTTGTTTAAAAATTTGGGAATTTATTTTGTTTAAGTTTTGCATACAGACAGAAATTTAAACAGAAATGTACTTAAGCCACAAGGATATTGCTGAAAAGTGGCTTGCTTTTTACTTTCTCTGGCCTGCAGATTGCTGGTGGCAGACTAAAAGTATGTGCAGTCATATTACCCAGTGAGTCGTTACAGAGCTATCCCACCACTTCCATGTTTTCTGAGAAGAATTCAAGTAAAAAAATCAAGAAAAAAAATCAAGATTATTAAGAGTATTTCTCTTATCTGACATTCTTTCAGTGCTTAGATCTTGTCAGCAGTGTCTTCAACTTTCACAAACAAGAAAAAAATTTAAACTCCACTGATGGGATCTCTTGGTATGGTTTCACGATGCAAAATGCAGTCATTTTAACACAGAACCACTGGAGTTAAAAGGCGATCTAGGCCTATATTTACAAAAAGTACTGAAAGTTGTCCCTAATCATCCTTTTTTATCTAAATAACTCTGAGAAGTCAATGTCAATAATAATAATAAGTCAAGACCTTTTGAAAGTCAAATCACTGTATAAAGGCAAAGCAGGACTGAACTCCTATTTTTACAGTCGTATTTCTGATGTATAATAAATGGGGAGAAAAAGTCAAGTTATGCTAAAGGAATGTTAAGAATGCAAAGTCAAGCTCTCTGAAAATTAGAAATGACAGTTCCTGCCCATACAACATGTGTGAAATGGGAGAGGAAACTCAAAACTTAATCGTTCTATGAAACCTGTCAATTATCAAGTATGATCAGGCTATTGTGTGCTGGAAAATTTTTATTATCTTATTCAGTAATATTAAACTCAGGCTAGGTTTTCCGAATGCTTTAAATTAAACACATATTTAAAAATAACTTTTACCATAGTTACAAGCAATAAACTTTGTATTGATTTTGAACTTTCTTTTAATGATTTTAAAGGAGTGGTTAAGAATTGGCATAGGTTGCTTGGAGTGGCTGTGAGATCTCCATCCTTGGGGATTTTCAAAATTTGTCTGGACAAGGCCCTGATCTTCTGAGGAAGAAAGTAAATTCAGAAATAGGGAAATTTGAATCGATAAAATTTAAATATTTATGTTAGAGGATCAGTAAAATAAATATGAAAAGCAAGATAACTGAAATATCACTCCCACGTGTAAGCAGTCCTACAGGACAAAGAGCCTAGGTATACATGCTCTAAACTGCTTCGAGGCATTGAACATATCTTAAATCCACCAAATAAGATCTCTGTTTATCTGACAAGTGAGAAAAGTAGCTATTAGGGTAAAAGCATCCTCCTTTTTTGTCCAATAATCCCAGCAGTGTCCTTCAGCAGTGTTGGAAATTCCAGCAGAAATTTTCTAATTCCTTATCATTTGAAGAGTTCCTATAGTAAGTAATAACATTTTGTCAGAGAATACATGAATTTTTAAGGTAGGAGACTTCCCAGTACTTCCATTTTAAAATTGTTAAAAAAATTTTGAATCTGGGATATGCAGCATTTATTTTTATACCTTCTTTATTGCAACAACAATATAGTCTCAACATAGAGGATGGTTTTTTTGTTTGTTTGTTTTTCTTTCCTTATATAATGAATACTTAATTATTTATTTAAAGCAAAACACCTTAAAGGAAGACCTCAAGATGTTTTTCAGGATAGATAATCAATAAGACCAATGGCTCTGTGCAAACTGGATTCTGGTTCCTGACACAAAATGAGCAGTTGTCAGTAGACCATTTGCTACTAATCATCCCTATGTCTTCCTAATTTGTGTAAAATGTATTACCTTGCTCCTTGATATGCCTGATTTTGGGGAAACCTAAGTAGAAATAGGGACCCAATGACCAGCTGAGGAACCAGGTAGATTCTGACTGCAGGGAGAGAAGAGCCTCAGACACAGTCCAGGACAGAGATGTCCTGCTGGAACACCTGCTTAATTCTCAGCAAAATTAGTGGCCTGAACCTTCCTGCCAGGTACTCCTGAAGCTATATTGACTATTGTGTGCACATAGGTGACAAATCTATGCAGATAAGTGATGGTTGTCCTCTCAGACATTTTCTCGTAGTGGATGTGGCTGCACATTTTAAATGGCAATTTTTCAGATTATTTGAGGAGTGAAGGACAGCACGAAATTCAGCAGTAAAGTGCCTTTCTCTGAGGCACTACTTTTGTCTCTTATCTCTATGTCTTATCTCTTATCTCTTGTCTCTATCCTAATTACTGTGAAATTAAAACCTCTTCAGAACCAGTAACACGAAGCATTTGGGGACCCAAAGCATCCAGAACAAATTCAAATACTATAGTTAGACTAGAATAAAGCTAGAACAGAAATGAACACTTTGAGATAGCTTTTGGAATCCAGAACAAATCCCAGTGCATGTGTAACCTAATGTCCCTGTTTCCGACAAGCCAGTTCTGAGAACAGGAACATAACTGCCTTTCAGAATTAGAGACGCGGAGTCAAACTTCTTCATTTGCACTTTGTAATCTGAGCACACAGCCTCGTGTTGTAAAACTGTGGTAGTGTTTTGCAATATCTTTTCCCACACTCACATTGCTCTCTCTTTCATTTCTAAAAATTCCACAGTGGCATGACTAGGTCTTCAGTATATTTACATCAATTATTTTACTTCCACATTTGCTGATGAGATTTTTCCATCAGTAAAAAAATAGTATGTCAAAAGTAAGAAAAGGTCACATTTAGGAGGCCTAAATAAAACATGAATCATGCCAATGATATTCCAGTATGTAGCAGTGCCATGTACCATACTGATATTCCACCATGGGCAAGCAGATGATACATTAACTTGCAGTGTCCTAGCCCAACATCAGT